TAAAGGACCCAGGGTCTGATCCGCGTTAAGGAAAACAAGTTTGAAAAGGCAGTAACAACTTAGATAATAATAATAATAATAATAATAATAATAATAATAATAATAAAAATACGCAAAACAGCCTAAATTAATGTTAGATAAAATAATAATAATAATAATAATAATAATAATAATAATAAATAAGTACACGAAACAGCCTAAATTAATGTTAGATAAAATAATAATAATAATAATAATAATAATAATAATAATAAATAAGTACACGAAACAGCCTAAATTAATGTTAGATAAAATAATAATAATAATAATAATAATAATAATAAATAAGTACGCGAAACAGCCTAAATTAATGTTAGATAGATAAAATAATAATAATAATAATAATAATAAATAATAAATAAGTATGCCAAACAGCCTAAATTAATGTTAGATAAAATAATAATAATAATAATAATAATAATAATAATAATAAATAAGTACGCAAAACAGCCTAAATTAATGTTAGATAAAATAATAATAATAATAATAATAATAAATAAGTACGCAAAACAGCCTAAATTAATGTTAGATAAAATAATAATAATAATAATAATAATAATAATAAATAAGTATGCCAAACAGCCTAAATTAATGTTAGATAAAATAATAATAATAATAATAATAATAAATAAGTACGCAAAACAGCCTAAATTAATGTTAGATAAAATAATAATAATAATAATAATAATAATAATAATAATAATAAATAAGTACACGAAACAGCCTAAATTAATGTTGGATAATAATAATAATAATAATAATAATAATAATAAATAAGTACTCAAAACAGCCTAAATTAATGTTGGATAACAATAATAATAATAATAATATTAATAATAATAATAATAATAATAAAAAATAAGTACGCCAAACAGCCTAAATTAATGTTAGATAAAATAATAATAATAATAATAATAATAATAATAATAATAATAATAAAGTACGCAAAACAGCCTAAATTAATGTTAGATAAAATAATAATAATAATAATAATAATAAATAAGTACGCAAAACAGCCTAAATTAATGTTAGATAAAATAATAATAATAATAATAATAATAATAATAATAATAAAAGTATGCCAAACAGCCTAAATTAATGTTAGATAAAATAATAATAATAATAATAATAATAATATAAGTACGCAAAACAGCCTAAATTAATGTTAGATAAAATAATAATAATAATAATAATAATAATAATAATAATAATAAATAAGTACACGAAACAGCCTAAATTAATGTTGGATAATAATAATAATAATAATAATAATAATAAATAAGTACTCAAAACAGCCTAAATTAATGTTGGATAACAATAATAATAATAATAATATTAATAATAATAATAATAATAATAAAAAATAAGTACGCCAAACAGCCTAAATTAATGTTAGATAAAATAATAATAATAATAATAATAATAATATAAGTACGCAAAACAGCCTAAATTAATGTTAGATAAAATAATAATAATAATAATAATAATAATAATAATAATAATAAATAAGTACACGAAACAGCCTAAATTAATGTTGGATAATAATAATAATAATAATAATAATAAATAAGTACTCAAAACAGCCTAAATTAATGTTGGATAACAATAATAATAATAATAATATTAATAATAATAATAATAATAATAAAAAATAAGTACGCCAAACAGCCTAAATTAATGTTAGATAAAATAATAATAATAATAATAATAATAATAATAATAAGTACGCCAAACAGCCTAAATTAATGTTAGCCAATAAAAATCCATGTACAAACACTTGTGTTGCTCTACTGACAAGGTCAAGCATTATTTTGGGCCTCCCTCACGCCAGCCGTCCCAACAAGACAACATGTATAGACTCTATATTTCTCAACCTTCCTAATGCCGTGACCCCTTAGTACAGTTCCTCATGTGGTGGTGACCCCCAGGCATAACATAATTTTTGTTGCTACTTCATAACTGTAATCTTGCTACTGTTATGAACCGTAATGTTAATATCTGATATGCAGGATGTATTTTCATTCACTGGACCAAATTTGGCACAAATACCCAATATGCCCAAATTTGAATACTGGGGGTTTGGGCCATTTTGATTATGCCATTTTGGAGTTGTAGTTGCTGGGACTTATAGTTAATCTACAATCAAAAAGCATTGTGAACTCCACCAATGATGGAATCGAACCAAACTTGGCACACAGGACTCACGTGACCAAAAGAAAATACTGGAAGGGTTGTGTGAACATTGATCTTGAGTTTGGGAGTTGTAGTCCACCTACATCCAGAGAGAACTGTGGACTCAAGCAATGATGGATCTGGACCAAACTTGGAACGGATGCTAAATGTGCTCAAATGTGAACGCTGGTGGAGTTTGGGGGAAATAGACCTTGACATTTGGGCGTTGTAGTTGCTGGAATGTATAGTTCACCTACAATCAAAGTGCATTCTGAACACCACCAACGATAGAATTGGGCCAAACTTGGCACACAGGACTCCCATGATCAACAAAAAATACTGGAAATATTTGGTGGACACTGACCTTGAATTTTGGAACTGTAGTTCACCAACATCTAGAGAGCACTCTGGACTCTAACAGTGATGGATCTGGACCAAACTTGGCACAAATACTCAATGTGCCCAAATGTGAACACTGGTGGCGTTTGGGGAAAATAGACCTTACATTTGGGAGTTGTAGATTTATCACTACAATCAAAGAGCATTCTGAACCCCACCAATGATAGAATTGGACCAAACTTCCCACACAGAACTCCCACGACCAACAGAAAATACCGGAGGGATTTGGGAGGAATTGACAGGGATTTAGGGGAGATGTAGTTCACCTACTTCCGGAGAGCACTGTGGACCCTAACAACTATGGATCTGGTGCCACGCTGCCATGTGCCATGCACACCTTCTCTCCCCTCCCCGCTTGGAGTCTCAGAAACAGCCCTCCCCTTGGCTGAGAGGCCTGCCAATCACAGCGGAGGAGGGCTTTTGGTGGGGGGATTCAGCTGTTTCCAAAAAGGAAGAGAAGGACAGGCGGAGAAACCTTCAGCCTTCTCTGCCAAAGGGGTTCCTCAGACCATCAGAAATATATGTTTTCTGATGGTATGTGGTGACCCCTCTGAAATCCCCTTTCAACCCACACAGAGGTTCAGACCCCCAGGATGAGAAACGCTGCCTTTAGTCAACAGATTTTTTTTTTGTCGTGTCAGGAGTGACTTGAGAAACTGCAAGTCGCTTCTGGTGTGAGAGAATTGGCCATCTCCAAGGATGTTGCCCAGGGGACATGCCCGGATGATTTGATGTTTTATCATCCTTGTGGGAGGCTTCTCTCATGTCCCCGCATGAGGAGCTGGAGCTGATAGAGGGAGCTCATCCGCCTCTCCCCGGATTCGAACCTGCGACCTGTCGGTCTTCAGTCCTGCCGGCAAAGGGGTTGAACCCACTGTGCCTCCGGGGGCTCGAGTCAACAGGTGACTTGAAGGCATGCACACATACTAGATTTTGTCATTTGGGAGTTGTAGTTGCTGGGATGTATAGTTCACCTACAGTCAAAGAGCATTCCAAACGCCACCAATGAGAGAATTGGACCAAACTTCCCACACAAAACCCCCATGTCTTGAAGGGACTCGCTGTTGCAAACCTCCCTCCAGCCTCACATGTTCTCCCTTGCCTCGCACATGCGCACCACACTAATAATAATAATAATAATAATAATAATAATAATAATAATCCTTTATTTATAACCCGCTACCATCTCCTGAAGGACTTGGTGCGGATTACAACAGGCCGAGGCCCAATACAACAATAAACAAGACAACAACAACACAGCAGTAAATAAAACTCAAGCAATAAACATAACAATAACAACACGACGCCATTAGAACCAATGTCAGGGCCAGATGTAATGGTTAAAATTTTAAAAAGCAGGGCATGACCGAGTGAAATGGGTGGATGTTTTGGAGATACGTAGGGCGTGCAGACAGTCCTAGATCTCTAGTAAAATGCATTTGGGACAAGGGTGCTTGGAGTTTCCTATTCTGGGAAGGCACACTGAAACAGCCACGTTTTCAAGCTCCTCCAAAAGACTGCCAACGTCGGGGCATGCCTGATATCCTTGGGGAGTGAGTTCCAGAGTTGAGGGGCCACCACCGAGAAGGCCCTGTCCCTCGTCCCCACCAATTGCGCCTGCGATGCAGGTGGGATCGCGAGCAGGGCCTCTGCCATGCGCTGAGCACACCTGCTCTCCCCTCCCTGCTTGAAGTCTCAGAGACAGCCCTCCCCTTGGCTGAGAGGCTTGTCAATCACAATGGAGGGGGGCTTTTAGTGGGAGGATTGGCTGTCTGTTTCTAAAAAGGAAGAGGAGGACAGGCGGAGAGATCTTCAGCCTCCTCTGCCAAAGGGACACCTAAAACACCAGAATTATGTGTTTTCTGATGGTATTTGGAGACCCTCTGAAACCCCCTCATGACCCCCCAGGGGTCCCGACCCCCAGGCTGAGAAACGTTGCTATAGGCCCATGATGGTTAACCTATGACACGCATGTCAGCACTGACACACATGGCTATTTTTGATGACACGCGGCCACATGTGGCCGCATACAGAGAAGCACACCTTCTAAGAGCCAATCTAATGCCATCCTTAAATTTGTAAAAGGCTCTACAAATTTAACATCTGGACGTTCGAGCCTTGTTCACTCCATAACTCAGCATGGAATATACCTTTTTCTTATTTAAATGATAAATATTGCAAAATTATGTTGTTGTTTTTTCTCGAAGTTGACACCCCACCCAAGTTATGCTCAGGTTTTTGACACACCAAGCTCAAAAGGTTGCCCATCACCGCTATAGGCTATTCTCTCTCGCACACAGGCTTCAACGGAGACTAAGAGCCATTACACGCGGCATTCAGTCTGGTCTTGGAAGCCGCAGAAAGGAAGGAAGGAAGGAAGGAAGGCCTACCTGAGCTCGGATGAGAGACTCAAAGCTTGGCTTGAAGTAATCGATGCGGCTGCTGTAGAATTTGGGCATCTCTTCCAGGAGCTGCTTGTTCTTGGCCTCAAAGTCCTCCTTCACGGGCCTCAGTTCCTCCCGGGCCTGAGAGAACACACAAGGAGGAGGAGGAAGAAGAAGACACACCGTTGGCCTTCACTTCTCCTCTGTTTGGTCCCCTTTTCCCAAGCCTGCACAGGAAACACATTTAAAATCGGGATTGAGTATCCCTGGGCTCAGGGAGCACACCACTCTCCTGTTGCGCCAGCTCCACTGGCTGCCAGTCTGCCACCGGGCTCAATTCAAAGGGCTGGCTTTAGCCTAGAAAGCCCTAAACCAGAGTTTCTCAACGTGGGGGTCGGGACCCCTGGGGGGGTCACGAGGGGGCGTCAGAGGGGTCACCGAAGACCATCAGAAAACACAGTGTTTTCTGTTGGTCAAGGGGGTTCCGTGTGTCAAGTTTGGCCCAATTCTATTATTGGTGGGGTTCAGAAAACTATAAATCCCAGTAATTACAAATCCCAAAGGTCAAGGTCTGTTTTCCCAAACTCCACCAGTGTTTACACTTGGGCATATGGAGTATTCGTGCCAAATTTGGTCCAGATCCATCATTGTTTGAGTCCACAGTGCTCTCTGGATGTAGGCGAACTACAACTCCCAAACTCAAGGTCAATGCCCAGCAAACCCTGCCAGTATTTTCTCTTGTTCATGGGAGTTATGTTACAAATTTGGTTCAGTTCCATCATTGGTGGAGTTCAGGATGCTCTTTAATTGTAGCTGAACTATAAATCCCAGAGACTACAACTCCCAAATGACAAATGACTCCCCCCATCCCCACCAGTATTCAGTGTATTGGGTATTTGTGCCCAGATTGATCCAGTGAATGAAAATACACCCTGCATATCAGATATTTACATTACGATTCATAACAATAAGAAAATGACAGTTATGAAGTAGCAAAGAAAGTAATGGTCGGGGGTCACCATCACACGAGGAACTGTTTTAAGGGGTCGTGGCATTAGAAAGGTTGAGAACCACTGCCCTCAACGGTTCTGGCCCAGTCTATCTATCTGAACGCACCTCTCCCTACGAACCCCCCAGGAACCTAAGATCGTCTGGGGAGGCCCTGCTCTCGATCCCGCCTGCTTCGCAGGCACGTCTGGCGGGGACGAGAGACAGGGCCTTCTCTGTGGTGGCTCCCTGGCTGTGGAACTCCCTCCCCAGGGATATTAGATCAGCCCCCTCCCTCCTGACTTTCCGAAAAAGAGTAAAAACTTGGCTCTTTGAGCAAGCATTCGGAACCCCGGAGTAAACAGACAAACTAGAGTTGGAAATTGACCCAGGAACGGCCAAGACAATGTAAATGGATCAAGATTTGAACAGAGGACATGGTTTCTTTTTAAATTGTTATTATGCACTGTCGTTTATGTTTAATTGCACTGAATGTTTTTGCTTTATTAATGTATGTATTTTGTTTCGGCATCGAATTGTGCCGACTGTGTGTACCGCCCTGAGTCGCCTTCGGGCTGAAATGGGCAGGATAGAAATAATGTAAATAAATAAATAACTTTCCGGGATTGCAGGTGGCACAGTGGGTTAAACCCTTGTGCTACTGAACTACTGACCTGAAGGTTGGAAGTTTGAATCTATGGGATGGGGTGAGCTCCCACTGTTAGCCCTAGCTCCTGCCAACCCAGCAGTTCAATAGCATGCAAATGTGATGTATATATGGCTTCTATAGCATTGTTAAATTGAAATCCTATGTCTAATTCTCTTAGTAATAGTTTTAGGTAGTTCCAATTCACTTTATCAAATGCCTTTTCGGCGTCTATGAAGAGTAATGCCATTTGTTTCTCATTATGTCTCTCGTAGTATTCAATCGTGTCTAATCGGTTCCGGCCCAAGCTACCTATCTGACCGCATCTCTGCCTATGAACCCACCAGGACTTTGAGATCTTCCGGGGAGACCCTGCTCTCGATCCCGCCTGCTTCTCAAGCTCGGCTGGCGGGAACGAGAGATAGGGCCTTCTCGGTGGTGGCTCCTCGGCTGTGGAACGCCCTTCCTACGGACATTAGACTAGCACCATCTCTAATGGTATTCCGCAAAAAGGTGAAGACCTGGATGTTTGTGCAGGCGTTTGAGTAATTTAGTGCAATCTGGTAATGGAACATAGGAATGGAACAATGGGCGACGAACCTGGACTACGCTTGGATGATGAGAAGATTGGGTACGGTTGTTTTTTGTAATAATTGTGCATTGTAATTGCTTATTGGTAATTTATGGATAATGTGTTAAGTCAATTGTTATATGTTGTATGGAACCACTGCTGTTTCTACTGTTTTTACTGTTTGTGAACCGCCGTGAGTCGCCTTCGGGCTTGAGATACAGCGGTATAGAAGCAAAGTAAATACATAAATAAATAATAATAATATTCTTGTATTGTCTTTAATTTGTCTGTTTGGAAGAAATCCTACTTGTTCTGTCGAGATCCAATCTTTTAGGAATCCCTTTAATCTTTCGGCCATAACTGATTGCAGTTTCTCAAGTAGCGCCAGACAAGGGGGGAAAAGAAGCCTGAAGGTGATTGGCTCTTCCGATGTGCCTTTGGAGTGGCCATTGATCCCATGTCTGCTTGCTCCATCTATATAGTGTTGCCCCAATGATGCACTTTCCTCCGTCCTAAACCAAAAGCCTACCCCACTGTTTATTCTTTTGGGGTTCCCCTTAATTACCTATTTCCTTGGCTGCCTCATCCAGGGTTTTATCATTCTACCTTGTTCTTTTGGCCTGCCCATTCCGTTCGATTTTATATTGTGTTAATTTGTTTTATTTATTCTTTTTTTGTGCTACTGTAACGTATTTTATTTTGATGTAATTTTTTGTTGTCTACATTCTGCATTTTATTTTGTTGTATTGTATCTTTGGGCTTGGCCTCACGTTAGTCACCCCGAGTCCCCTTTGGGGAGATGGTGACGAGGTATAAATAAAGATTATTATTATTATTATTATTATTATTATTATTATTATTATTTATGCTAACCGTCCCCTGCCACGCGTTGCTGTGGCCCACTCTGGTGGTCATGGGGGTTCTGTGTGGGAGGTTTGGCCCAATTCTATCATTGGTGGGGTTCAGAATGCTCTGTGATTCTAGGTGAACTATAAATCCCAGCAACTACAACTCCCAAATCTCAAGATTCTATTTCCCCCAAACTCCACCAGTGTTCACATTTGGGCATATTGAGTATTCGTGTAGAGTTTGGTCCAGATCCATCATTGTTTGAGTCCACAGTGATCTCTGGATGTAGGTGAACTACAACTCCAAAACCAAAGGTCACTGCCCACCAAACCCTTCCAGTATTTTCTGTTGGTCATGGGAGAACTGTGTGCCAAGTTTGGTTCAATTCCATCGTTGGTGGAGTTCAGAATGCTCTTTGATTGTAGGTGAACTATAAATCCCAGCAACTACAACTCCCAAATGACAAAATCCATTTTTTGAGTGAAGGACATACATTGGATTGTTAGGTGTCCTGTGTCCAAATTTGTTGTCAATTTGTCCAGTGCTTTTTGAGTTCTGTTCATCCCACAAACTAACATTACATTTTTATTTATATAAGATTATTATTACTATTACTATTATTATTATTATTAATGTGATACACAATATTTTAATTATTAGGTTCTGGTGGGTTTTTTCGGGCTATAGGGCCATGTTCTAGAGGCATTTCTCCTGACGTTTTGCCTGCATCTATGGCAAGCATCCTCAAGCATCCTCACTACCTCTGAGGATGCTTGCCATAAATGCAGGCAAAACGTCAGGAGAAATGCCTCTAGAACATGGCCCTATAGCCCGAAAAAACCCACCAGAACCTAGTGATTCCAGCCATGAAAGCCTTCGACAATACATTTTACTTATTGTTGTGAAAGAACGTTTGGGTATATTGAAAGCACATGTTTCACTATTAAAGCCAATCCTGTGGACTGTTTTGGGTTTAGGAGCATTTTGGATTTGCAGGTAAGGGATGCTCAAGTTGCACACACTAGCTTAGTGATGGCAAAGCAAATTTAGAGAGAGGTCAATGCTTCCTAAATGGTGGGAGTGAGTGATGGGCGTTGTGAGCGGAATGGAAACCTGTTTCCGTCTTAGGAGAACACACATTCCCCCTTTTCACAATGCGGCTTTACAAAGGTTTTTGTGTCTTCAAATACTGATGGAAATGCCTGTAAATATTGCAGAAGCCCTCTCCCCAATTCTTCTTGGCAGAGTCTTATTAGGCTTTCCTAATAAGGGGGGGGGGGACACCCTTCTGGCTTAGTCATCAGAACAAAGCAGCGCGCATTGTCACATCCTTTGGTTTCTGCTTGCGCAAGGAGCGTCCTAAGCTTCTTTACGACTAAGCTGGAAGTCTCTGTTCTCAGTGCCGATATGGTAATTCTTCAACACAATGCCCAATTGAAAGAGTTATACACATTCTGCGTTCTTTCATTCTGTCGAAGTCAATCTGAGACTCTGTACACACACAAGGAAGCGGGTCAACAGCATTGTGTTCGGAGTGGCTTCATCCTTCGTTTGGAAAGCCTTTTGCAACGGATGCACTAGAGCTGCTTCCAGGAAAGACAGAAAAGGCGAAGAAGAAGCCACGAAGGGCTTTGCAACTCAAGACACTTCCCCACAGTTACGCCCACTGAGTGTTAAAGCCGGCATTTCCACCCTAGGCTTATTGCAACCAGGTGCAACTGCCACATAACCTCTGAAGTAGCCCTCGCGGAGCCCAAGATCCAGCTACTAAAATTGGGCAAAACTTAGGCCAGGAAGAAAGTTTGGGTAGGAAGCCAAACAAGCTCACAATCCCACAACAAGCTTCCCACCTTTTAGCTGCAGCACTGAAGGTGAAGCACTGGGATAACATGTTTGTGGTGACTAGGCTGTTGTAGATTTCTCGGGCTGTATGGCCATGTTCTAGAAGCACTCTCTTCTGAGGTTTTGCCTGCATCTGTGGCAAGCAAACCTCACAAGCTCTGAGTACGCTTGGCACAGATGCAGGCGAAACATCAGGAGAGAATGCTTCTACAATATGGCCATATAGCTCACAACCTGAGGATGCTTGCTATAGATGCAGGCTAAATGTCAGGAGAAAATGCTTCTAGAACATGGCTGTATAGCTCAAAACCTGTGAAGATGCCTGCCATAGATGCAGGCTAAACGTCAGGAGCAAATGCTTCTAGAACATGGCTGTATAGCTCACAACCTCTGAGGATGCTTGCCATAGATGCAGGCGAAACGTCAGGAGCGAATGCTTCTAGAACATGGCCATATAGCTCACAATCTCAGAGGATGCCTTCCACAGATGCAGGCAAAACGCCAGGAGAGAATGCTTCTAGAACATGGCCATACATCTCAACCTCTGAGGATGCTTGCCACAGATGCAGGCGAAACTTCAGAAAAGAATGCTTCTAGTACATGGCCATATAGCTCAACCTCTGAGGATGCTTGGCACAGATGCAGGCGAAACTTCAGAAGAGAATGCTTCTAGAACATGGCCATATAGCTCAACCTCTGAGGATGCTTGCCATAGATGCAGGCGAAACGCCAGGAGAGAATGCTTCTAGAACACGGCCATACAGCCCTAAAAATCTACAACAACCCATGAAAGCCTTCAACAATACTTTGCTGTGTCTGCTGACCAACTGGGAGTGAGGTGACCTTCTGCCTGCCCCTAAGCCAGTGTTTCTCAACCTTCCTAATGCCACGACTCCTAATCCAGTTCCACATGTTGTGGTGACCCTCAACCAGAACATTATGCTCGTTGCTATGCCATAACTGTCATTTTGCAACTATTATGAATGGTCATGTAAATATTTGATATGCAGGATGTATTTTCATTGACTGGACCACATTTGGCACAAATACCCAATAGGCCCAAATCTGAATACTGGTAGGGTTTTGGGGGATTGATTTTGTTATCTGGGAGTTGTAGTTGCTGGGATTTATAGTTCACCTACAATCAAAGAGCATCCTGAACTCCACCAACAATGGAATTGAACCAAACTTGGAACACCCAGAACTCGCATGACCAAGAGAAAATACTGGAAGGGTTTGGTGGGTATTGACCTTGAGTTTTGGAGTTGTAGTTCACCTACATACAGAGGGCACTGTCGACACAAAGAGCTATTGATCTGGACCAAACTTGGCACAAATCCTCAATATGCCCAAAGGTGAACAGTGGTAGAGTTTGGGGAATACAGACCTTGGAGAGTGTGGAGAAAATAGACCTTGACCTTTGGGAGTTGCGTTTTCTGGGATTTATAGTTCACCTACAATCAAAGAACATTCTGAACTCCACCAACGATGGAACTGGACCAAAGTTGGCACACAGAGCTCTCATAACCAACAGAAAATACTGGAAGGGTTTGGTGGGCATTGACCTTGAGTTTTGGGAGTTGTAGTTCACCTACATCCAGAGAGCACAGTGGACTCAAACAATGATACATCTGGACCAAACTTGGCACAAATCCTCAATATGACCAAAGGTGAACAATGGTGGAGTGTGGAGAAAATAGACCTTGACATTTGGGAGTTGCAGTTGCTGGGATTTATAGCTTACCTACAGTCAAAGAGCATTCTGAACTCCCCAATGATAGAACTGGGCCAAACTTCCCACACAGTACCCCCTTGATGAAAAGAAAATACTGTGTTTTCTGATGGTCTTTGCGGACTCCTCTGACACCCCCTCACAACCCCACCCAGGGGTCTCCCAGTTTGAGAAACACTGTCCTAAGCAAAGACTTCATCGTGCTACTAGTGGGACAGGCCTGCCTCTGACAAATACTTACACCTGGGCAAAAACGTATCCATAAAAACATTCTTCCATACCCGGAAACCCTGAGCATTCCCCCTGCCTTCCAGGTGAGCTGGGCTCTGGCTCCGTACCTGGTGGAGCTTGGTGAGGATGGGCCCCGTCTTCTCCTTCTCCTCGTATTTCTCCACCTTGGACTGCAGTCTCTTGTAGTCCTGGAGGGTCTGCTCACGCCGCTTCACCGCCATATTCAGGCTGGGGAAAACACTGCTAAACCTGAAAAGAGAGTTTCAAAAAAGAATGGCCACTGTGGTGTTTTAGGGACCCTTAAGTCCAAATTCTCAGCTTCAGAATGCAAGAAGCAGAACCAAATGCTCTGGATTTCAACTTAACTGGAGGTCAGTTGCGTTTCCCACAAGGGGTTGCTTACCTAACCCTATTCCTGATACCTTGTGAGTGAGGTTAGGTTAGATCAGGCATGGAGAGGCTTTCTAACTTGGGGGGCGCATGGTGGGCCCAAAAGGAGGGGGTTCTCTCCTTTTGGACAGGGGGAGTGTGTCCCTGCTAGTTCTGCTGGACCTCTCAGCGGCCTTCGATACCGTCGACCACGGTATCCTTCTGGGCGCCTCGTGGGAATGGGCCTTGGAGGGACTGTTCTGCAGTGGCTCCGGTCCTTCCTAGAAGGTTGATCTCAGAAGGTGTTGCTGGGAGACACCTGTTCTACCCCACAACCTTTGTCTTGTGGGGTTCCACAGGGCTCAATACTGTCTCCCATGTTGTTTAACATCTACATGAAGCCGCTGGGGGAGAACATCCGGAGTTTCAGGGTACGGTGTCATCTGTACGCAGATGATGTCCAACTCTATCACTCCTTTCCACCTTCTACTAAGGAGGCTGTCCAGGTCCTGAACCGGTGCTTGGCCGCTGTGACGGTCTGGATGAGGGCGAACACATTGAAACTGAATCCAGACAAGACAGAGGTACTCCTGATCAGTCACAAGGCCAAACAGGGCATAGGGTTACAGCCTGTGTTGGACAGGGTCGCACTCCCCCTGAAGACACAGGTTCGCAGCTTGGGTGTGATCTTGGACTCATCGCTGGGCCTGGAACCCCAGGTTTCAGCGGTGACCAGGGGAACATTCGCACAGCTAAAACTTGTGTGCCAGATGTGCCCGTACCTTGGGAAGTCTGACTTGGCCATGGTAGTCCATGCTCTGGTTACATCCCGTTTAGACTACTGCAACGCTCTCTACATGGGGTTGCCTTTGAAGACTGCTCGGAAGCTTCAAATGGTCCAGCGCTCGGCAGCCAGGTTGCTAACAGGAGCAGCACTCCTCTGTTGCGCCAGCTCCACTGGCTGCCAATTTGCTACCGGGCACAATTCAAAGTGCTGGCTTTAGCCTTTAAAGCCCTAAACGGTTCTGGCCCGACCTACCTGTCCGAACGCGTCTCCTCCTATGAACCAGTTAGGACATTAAGATCGTCTGGGGAGGCCCTGCTCTCGATCCCGCCGGCTTCACAAGCACGCCTGGCGGGGACGAGAGACAGGGCCTTCTCAGTGGTGGCCCCTCGGCTGTGGAACGCCCTTCCTACAGACATTAGATCGGCCCCCTCCTTATTGGCATTCCGGAAGAGAGAGAAGACCTGGCTCTTCAAACAGGCTTTCAACTAAGCAGTGCAATTGAGTGATTATTGGAGTATGGATTAACGGACAACGAGATTGGATGCCGATTCTATTGATGAGACGTGATGGATTGTTATATTGCTGTACTGTTGTATTGGTTCTGGTGTTAATTAATTGATATTACTGTTTTTAATTGATTACTGATTTTGTATCGTCTTGTTGAAACTGGTTGTTAACCGCTCTGAGTCGGCTGAGGGCTGAGAAGAGCGGCATCCAAGTGAAGCAAATACATAAATAAATGGCTGACTTCTCTGGTTGAAGGAGTCTGCAGGGCCTTTCATGTTCCTGTATTCATGTTTGGGCAATGCTGCTGCTGCTGCTGCTGCTGCGTTTGGGGGTCCCTATGAAGACTTCTTGTCCACAGCTGCATGGTCCACGGGAGACTCCTCTGAGGATGCTTGCCACAGATACAGGTGAAACGTCAGGAGAGAATGCCTCTAGACCAGGGGTCCCCAAACTAAGGCCCAGGGGCCGGTTGCGGCCCTCCGAGGTAATTTACCCGGCCCTTGCTCAGGGTCAGCCTCAGTCTGAAACGACTTGAAAGCACACCACCACCACAACATCTCATGGGCCAAAAGCAGGCCCACACTTCCCATTGAAATACCAATACGTTGATATTTGTTAAAATTGTTCCTCATTTTAATTATTGTAGTGTTTTAATTGTTTTTTGCACTACAAATAAGATATGTGCAGTGTGCATAGAAATTCATTCATGTTTTTTTCAAATTATAATCCGGCCCTCCAACAGTTTGAGGACTGTGACCTGGCCCTCTGTTTAAAAAGTTTGAGGACCCCTGCTCTATTATTTATTATAGCCGGAAAAAACCTACAACAACCCAGGATTGTTGTTGTTGTGTGCTTTCAAGTCGTTTCAGACTGAGGCTGACCCTGAGCGAGGGCCGGATAAATGACCTTGGAGGGCCGCATCCAGCCCCCGGGCCTTAGTTTGAGGACCCCTGGTCTAAACCTTTCAAAAGCCCTCTTCCAGAATGCTGGTGTGCCTTCCTGCCAGTTTCAGGTGAAGCAAAACAATCCTGTGACCGGAAACCAAGAAGGAAAGCAGAGACAAGGAGGCAGCAAGTGGGAGAATGAAAAGCCTTTAATGTGCAAATAATATGCTGAGTGCCTTAAATCACCCCCTGGTTCCAGTTCTGCGATACATGCCAACCTTTTGGAACACGCACAGCTGTTAAAAGAGGAACGGATCTGTTTGCATGCGGACCGCTGCCTCCATCCATTCATAATCCCCTTGGTAATGCATTGTTGGAATTGGGTAGCTAGACCTTTCCATGAAAAGCACCATAATTGAGACGCTTAACGCTTTTCTAAAATGTTGAGAACTGGCTGTATGGAACAGTGGGACCAGCAGATCCCCCCCCCCCCCTCGCTTCCAATCTGTATGCCATGCTCTTAGGGATTTCAGAGGCTGCTGTGCACTCCGAAAACAGTCTCTGAAACCTACTCACCTGTAATAGCCGATACGAAAGTCATAACAGCAGGAAAGGCATTGCAGTATTATTTAATTCCTAAGAGCAATTGACATTTGCTTCTATACTTAGATTGCCACGCTGCTGAGAAGGACTCGGTTGGAAAGGGCTCACGGCACAAACGTTGCAGCGCTATACATTAAGAGAGAGGAAAGATGGGTGTCCTGCTGAATATATACATAGGCGAGATTGCCTTTCTTTGTGCTTAATGATGCACGCGAAGAAAATGCCGTCGTTAATGTAAAGTCCGTTTGAGATGACGAAGCGGCAGGGGAGGGCTGGAGGAGCTTCTGCAATACTTCTTCATCGCCCCACCCTCAACATAGAGAGCTACAATGTCTCCATAGAGGAGTCTTTCTTAGCCTCCCTATACACTCCCAACAATGTCTATGCTGGGAACATGTTTATGGAGTCATAGAATCCTAGAGTTGGAAGAGACCTCATGGGCCATCATCCAACCCCATTCTGCCAAGAAGCTGGACAATCACCTTCAAAGCACCCCCGGCAGATAGCCATCCAGCCTCTGTATAAAGGCCTCCATAGAAGGAGCCTCCACCACACTCCGGGGCAGAGAGTTCCACTGCTGAACAGCTCTCCCAGTCAGAAAGTTCTACCTAATGTTCAGGTGGAATCTCCTTTACAGGGAACCAGAAAACAAGCCTGCTCCTTCCTCCCTATGACTTCCCCTCTCATTTTTATCCCCTGCCCTCATCATGCATCCTCTTCTTCAAGCTAAGTATGCCCAGCTCTTTAAGCCACTCCTCATAGGGCTTGTTCTCCAGACCCTTGATCCTTTGAGTCGCCCTCTTCCTCTGGACACATTCCAGCTTAGAGTCAATCTCTCTCTTGAATTGTGGTGCCCAGAATTGGACACAATATTCCAGGTAAAGTGGTCCAACCAAGGCAGGATAGAGCATGGGGAGCATGGCTTCCCTAAATAGGAGGGGCAATGCAACACTTGTATTCTGAAGTCGTCCAACCTGTACACCAGTGGTTCCCAACCTTTTTTTGACCAGAATGGAGGACCTTCTTATAGCAACACCTGAGGCACTCAAAATGGCCAGCTTCTGGTCAAAGGCCGGTCCATGCCTTTGTCACCTCCAGATTGGATTACTGTCATGCACTCTACGTGGGGCTGCCCTTGAAGGTGGCTTGGAAATTTCAATTGGTACAAGAGGCGGCAGCCAGGTTACTAAGTGGAGCGACTTACAGGGAGCGATCAACCCTCCTGTTCAAGGAGCTCCACTGGCTGCTGTTCATCTTCCGGTCCCAATTCAAGGTGCAGGTTCTTACCTACAAAGCCCTGAACGGTTTGGGACCCGCCTACCTGCGTGACTGCATTTCTGTGTACGAACCCACGCGATCTCTTCGATCATCCGGAGAGGCCCTGCTTGCGCTCCCACCTCCCTCACAGGCTTAATTAGTGGGGACGAGGGAGAGGGCCTTCTCAGTGGTGGTCCCTTGACTCTGGAATTCACTCCCTAAGGACATCAGACATGTCCCAACTCTGGCAGTCTTTAGGAGGAGCCAGAAAACGTAGCTGTTCCAGTGTGCCTTCCCGGGATTAAGAAATAACTCCCCAGCCAAATGTCCTTACGAATCTTTCATGAACGCCCCTCGTACATATACACGCATCAGTACTAACATCTGTGTGTTTTGGGGGGATGCAAAAATACTTTGTGGACATTTTGATAGCACTTTCCAAACTTTTTCAAATTAAATTAAAAAACCGAATGAGACGATGAGTGCGTTTTAAAAGTACTGAAATGCAACTGTGTTTGCTTATTTGGTTGCAAGACGACTTTCCAAGCTTTGGTTTTCAGTTGATAATCTCAGTGTTGTGAGTCAAGAAATTAGCATTCATTAAACACTTTGAAAGGGGAAGCGACGTTAGCCTGTTTTTTCAAAACTACGGAAAAGTCCTTTGAAGACTAAACACATCCATTATGGCACACGCTCCGGAGGATATAACAAGCATGTGGTTAAGGGGACGCAATCCACGGAAGTTGCCACAATACCGTACTCTTGCTAATCTTCAAGATGTAACAAGACTCTGTTGATTTCGGAAGAAAATCTTTTGGCGAGAATCAGTGGCACACGTCCAG